AAGAGACACCCAGCAATCATCGGAAGTCGTACACGGAAGGTAATTGCTTCCAGGGCCGTGGCATGAAGAAACTATCACTCCCATCTAACGGCTTTACCCTGGGAATACTACCAATCCATCCGTAACCAACACCTCCGTCTTGTACACGAAGATAAGAGTGAGTGTCAGCGTCAGCTTACGCCCAAACGTTCATCTACTTCCAAAGCCTTGTATAGTCACGTCAACAGCCTTCGACAAGTCAAGTACGGTGTCACCGCGCTGGCGACCCCACAGGTCTCACAAAGGCAGTGATCGAGGCGGCGGATGTCCTGTGCTAGCAGTACCCAGCCACACCGTTCGTTCCAGCAATGCATACAACAATAGCACTTTATTCATTCTTACTATCAACTTCCCCGATGACTTTTCAGTTCATTAAGGAGAAGTTCTGCCGAAACTGAAATCCCTGCGGCTAACGGCCTCTACTGGCGCTGAGGGTTTCCACCCAAGGCTCTTGCAGACTTGCTCTGCAGCTATAGCTTTACCCTTAGCGGAGCCGTTCACCCACTTCTTATCGAAAGGCGAAGCTCCCAATGATTAGAAATGTGGGACTATTGCACCAAACTACAAAGGCGGTACTCGCAAAGCCCGGCCAGTTACCGACCGATAACCCTCCTCGCTACGGTCCGCAAAGTGATGGGATCGATGGTAGTAGACGCTTTAATGGACCACTTGGTGACCCAGAAACTGCTCCCCGATTTCCAACACGGTTTCCGGTGGCAACTGTCGTACCTGACTAAGCTGCTACTTGCCAGGGATAGCTAGAAGACTGCTGCCGACTCTGGCATAGAAAGGCATGTTATATCCTTGGGTTTCACAAAAGCTTTCGAGAAGGTCATCCACAACATTCTACTACAGAAACTGTTGTCTTAAGGCCTTTCAGGGGCCTTGATGGACCGGATCCGGAAGTACCTTCAAAACCGCATCGTCCGAGTACGCGTCGACGGAGCGTTGTCCCCTGCATCCTTGCCGCAAGCGGAGTTCCATAGTGGTCTGTTCTCGGACCGGATTTCTTCCTGACCTTCACTGATGACGGCACACCGCAAGTGGAGCAATCGATGCTACTATATGCGGAGGACGCGAAGCTGTGTCGCACAATTATCTTTCCGGGCGATGCCCACGCGCTTCAAACGGATGTTGACTGTCTACATCAGTGGACCATATAAAACAAGCTTCCAGTTAACCCTTCGAAATGTCGCGTCCTTCCTACTCGCACTTACGCTCTATCTCCAATACCTTACCTGGGCGCTTCTATCCTCTAGATCACTTCACCCGAACGAGACTTGGGTATGGTTACCCAAACGAGTCTTTCCGGATCCGCTTCCCGCCGGAAAGCAGGTGCTGCTGCTTACCGCATGGTGGGATTGCTGAAACGAGCCTTCGATCAAATTGTCCATACCAATTTCCACCTACTCCTCAACGCCTTTCTTCGACCCACTTGGAGGCTGCTATTCATGCTTGGAGCCCCTGGTTGTTGAAGGATCAACGCATGCTGGAAGCCCCACAAGGTCGGGATACAATCTGGTCTGAGGTCTCAAGCACCTAGATTATCCTCAACTACTTTACTGCGTGAGCCTCTACTCGCTTAAGTACCGACGTCGGCGGGGCTACCGGATTATTTTATTTATGATCTTAACTAGCCTTGGATATCCCTGTCGCCACCTACTCACACTGCACTAATCGTGCTCTCACCTACGTGGCCATCCACTGAGGCTCACACATCAGCACAGTCGGATGAACTGCAGAGGCCACTACTTCGCTTTACGAAGCTACCGGCAGTGTAATGCTCTACCTGCCGATTTAGTCTTGTCACCCACAGCGGCGGATATTAATAACCGCCTGGACTGTCATCTGACCGAGCTGCACCGCAATAGTCCTTGATAAAAGTATATTCTAATTGATGGAGTTTCTTTCACATTTTTCTCTTCTACCTAATTCCTTTCCATTGCCGTTTCTGCGGGCGTGGTGGGATGTCACGCTTTGAGCCGGCATGCCGCATAAGCCAGTTGAAGATACCGCTAACACGTTAGTCTTACTCGCCAGAAGGTTGCGCGGCCTTTCATTAGACCCGACCCGAACTCTTTTTACCCTGTGGGTCATGTAAAGCTCGAGCTTTTATTCCCATTAAATACAATGTTCCAATGTTCCAATGATAATTGACACACTTGCAACTTTTTGGCTCTTGTGTGATGTTAACACCTCTCCTGCAGTCAGTGGTTTTATGGTGCTGGATACGTATTGTATGTAGATCCCAAAGGTTTGCCAAAAAGTCAGCATATTGTTTGGTAGTTACGTCCTTAATCTGGCTATTGGCGAAACTTCTTGTTGCTCATGCCCGGTTTGGACTTGAACTTGTCTTTGTTCAGGCCCATGTACATGGAATGTGCTTGTCCTTGACCTTGAGTATGGAGGCTCTAGATGCTGGCCTCCACGTTGAAGAGCCAGTGGGTGTCGATTTAGTATCATGTGTGGAGGAGGTACCGGCTGAAGAGCCTCAGCAGTGTGATAGAGAGAATCAGTGCATCGCTGAGGTTGATGAGCAGTCTCTCAACCAAATCAAGCTGCAGTGTGAATTTTACTTCTCTGATGCCAACATCTTGAAGGACCAGTTCATGTTAAACCAAGTGAAATCTTCAAAAGATGGTTGGGTCAATCTGGGAATAATCGAGAAATTCAAAAAAGTTCAGAAGTTAACAAAAAGCCATGACGTCATTATTCGTGCCCTGGCGAATTCTGAGAAGCTTGAGGTTTCAGAAGATGGTAATTTTTGCACCTTATGTTAATCTCTTCTAGGTTTGATGATCAGGCGGAGGTGTCCATTACCTGAGTGGGATCCTTCTGTTTACTATCGATCGCTTATCGTTTCTGATCTACCCGACGGGACGAAGTTAGATCATTCTGATCTGACTGAAATTTTCACGGTACGCTATTCAAAGTAGGCAGTCTATGCTTCCTAGATGTAGCATTCCTTTGTCTTTTACGCCACCGTTTTCACTTATATGTCCTTCCGCAAAATTTAGCAATCGTGTGACGTTGCTTTCCAGAGTGGTGACGGGGATGGTTACTCCGTGGGCGAAACACGGAGCAACCAATACTAAATATCTGCGGCTAAACCAGAACGACGAATGCTATTCTATAAGATAGGTTATTTTGACAGCCTATGTAGAATTGCCTAATCTAAAGCTAGGACACCGATAAACTAGGCTAGTAATGGGATTCTCTTCTCGTCAGCAACGCAGAAAATGCGAGTGCGATTCGAGGATCTAGGACAGCAAGAATGCGTGCCGAGCTATTCAAACCATCGCATACATGCAAACACAGCTAGACACCTCAGATTTCCTGGGTACATTGTAATATTAACTTTTGAAACTATTTTCAACATACTTCAAACGAACCTGGAATCCGCGGGTTGCTACGCAGCCCCGTGTTTATGGCGCCAGTCGTGAACCACTAGGCTCTGAGTTCCACCTCAGCCCAGGCTATCACCTGCTGAGTCCAAACCAGGACGAAACCGCGGTCGTGGAGTGTCATTGTTGGGAAGATCAACAAAAATATTTCCATTTTAGTTACGGTCCTCTCGATCAAAATGACAGGTCCATCTCAAGTGAACCGAGATCTCAGTCGAGGTTGCGTGTCCCAATCCAACCATCCAGTTGGTTTTTCAAGTCCGGCTTTGGTATCCACCCTTTTTCTGTTTTGACACCGTAAGGGAAGACGCTGTGGGAGGCCGCTAGGGTCCGATCGCATTGGAACTCCCACGGCCGCTGCGTCAGGTTTACCAGCGCTCGCAAATGACTGACCGGTGACGGACAGTGTTCAGGTAGATCGAAGCGTCAACCACACCTCCCCTTTTTCCATAAGCACTATGCCACCGAGATCCGCGACAAACGCTTCGTACAGCGGAATCGAATTCGGAGAACCCGCTGTGTGGATGGGTTGCGACACGCAACCTCTATGGGGACCTCGGTTCACTAGAGGTTTACCTCGGTCATTCCGGTCGCAAGGAGGAAACCGCTGTTGTGGGTGCCAGTGTTGGGAGGAGCAACAAAAATATCTACATTTCAGGTACAGTACTTGCGTTCGGAACGACCGAGGTCTACCTCTAGTGAACCGAGGTCTCAATAGAGGTTGCGTGTCGCAACCTAACACACAGCGGGTTCTCCAAGTCCAAATTTGAATTCGTTTCCGTTGTACCAAGCGTTATTCGCGGATCTCGGTGGCATAGTGTTTATAGCGTCAGTCGTGAACCACTAGGCTCTGAGTTCCACCCCAGCTCAGGCTATCTCTACCTGATGAGTCCAAACCAGGACGAAACCGCGGTCGTGGGGTGCCAGTATTTGGAGGAGCAACAAAAATATGTCCGTTTCACTTACGATCCTTGCGATGGGAATATCAGTTTTCGAAAGGTCAGGCTTCGGTGTGCTCGGTCCACATCAAACTGTCGGACGTTTCCGAAGATGAGGAAGAAGACACGCTGGGGGATGATAGGCGTTGATAACCCAGTACAAAAGGCGATTGTCTCCTGCCGTAGAGACTAAACGTTGAAATGCGAAATTGGAAATGTAATGCTTTTTGAAACTTCAAAACGTTCTGTACTTTCTGCGGTTATCAAAAGATACTGGAGTTAAGTAGCGTAGAGATAAGAAACTTGTCTGGTAGACTTGCGGCCCGTTTTCACGCCTGCGTCTTAATAATCCTAGCCCTCCTGCAACCGGTGGTGCTTACGCGTCAACGTGGTGTCCATACTACGTACCGGCGTACTATTGATGCCTTTAAGTACCTGAAAACGATTAGGGCCAAAGTAACCTTACAAGTGTGTGGGCCAGCGAATCCGACGGTCACACCTAGTAATCTTTTACAGATGGGTGGAGTACGAGGATTCAGTTGGCTTGTTTCCGAGTTGAAGTGTTGCTGCTTGTTCGGTTTTCTCCACCATCACTTGCATTATACACGTTAGCGTGAGATGAGAACAATGTGCCACAGTACACGAGAGCAGAGAGACGCAACACTGGCGCCTTAGCTGAATCGCCAATAACGAGTGGGCATCGTTCCGGAGAGCTGGCAGCCGATTGTAGCCGGATTTCGTTACCGTCGCGGCAGTATTGATCACATTCACCTTACGTCAATTTTGGAGCAACGCCATATTTATCGGCGACCCACCACTATCGTGTTCCTCGACACCAAAGATGCTTCGATTCCGTTGATCGATGTGCACTTTTGGATTGTTTCTTAGGTCAGGTGTGCCCGAAAAATATGTGGATGTCATAAGAGCGATGTACGCGCATAGTTCGGGCAGAATGAAGACTTACGGCAGATTTTCGCCGCCCTTCAATATCTCCAGCGGTGTGAAACAAGAATGTTCGCTATCACCTTTCCTTTTGAACTTCTCCACTGACGAGGTCATGGTAACTGCGTTCCCTGCACACGATCTGCAAAGCGTGGAGTTGCTCCCAGGTGAACAACTTCGTGACTTGGAGTACGCCGACAACTGCCCTTTTAAACGTGCCAAGTAGCACTGGACAAATTAGTACTGGCTATCAGTCGTTTCGGGCTATGCTTCGCACCCTTGAAGTTTAAAGTCCTGCAAGATTGGGAGGAACCCACCCCTGCGCTAACCCTATGTGGGAAAAAGCTTGAAGCCATCGAGAACTAGTATCTATACAGCTGTATCAGCGCGAAGGGAATTGAAGGTGAAATTACGAATGCCATAGCAAAAGCTAGCTTCGCTTTTGCCAATCTCCGCCACCTGTAGAGCCGGCGTGACATCACTCTCGTTTTGAGCGTCAGAGTTTATAGTGCACCCGTCCCTTCAACCCACCTGTACAGCTGCGGGACCTGGCCCATTAGGTAGACGGACCTAACGAAGCTTGCTACGTTCGATCATCGCTGCCTTCGCAGCTTTGCTCATGTCTTGTTCGAACATCGCGTGAGCACTGAGCGTGTTCGGCGTCATGTATTTGGTGCACTAAGTGCTACTGAACCGCTCAGCACCGTTACATCACGCACCAGCCTCCGATGTCTTGGTCACATGTTGTGCATGCTTGCCCACCGACTCCCGCGACGTGCATTGTTTGCGCGCCGGTGGTGTGAATGGAAGAAAAGAAGGGGTGGCCAAATGAAGAGGAATGAAATCCCTCAGTTCGAACTTGGCGTCCCTGGCTGGGGTCCGAAGGAATATGAACACGTTTGTTTGGGTACGCTAGCTGACATGCGGAAGAGCCTACCTCAATGGCGTTTTGTTGTTTCTTTGTCCCTCTCCACCCAACCACGATCCCTTTCTTGACGCAAAATATCTCACTAAGTAGTTTGTCGCCTGTTTCTTTTTGCCTACTATAATTTTTAGTATTTTGCTTTTCCGCATCTATTCATCATCATCATCATCATTATACATGTCAGCTAGAGATGGTAAAACACCTCCGCTATTGTACCGCAATACATAAAGGAAATACATACATACATACAATACATAAAGGAAAAAATAAATACGACAGTTGAATGCCAGCTGAGCTACCAGCAACGGATAGACATCGTTCCGGTAAGCTACTAGCCGGCTACTAGGCAAAAACAAAAATTTAATTACGTTTTACCCTATGAGATAAGATCGTAGATGGAGGGGGAGGCTAAAGGGATGGGGAGGGACAAAGAAACTCACAGCAGGAACGCCACTGAGGTCGGCTCCTTGCCATATCAGCAAGTGTATCCAGCCAAACGTGTTCACCGTCTTTTGGACCCCAACCAGGGAGCCGTGAAGCTCCAACTGAGGCCAGCTCCGAAGTGAGGGCCTTCATTCCTCTGGACCAAGTCATCGCTTGGCCACCTCTCCTCTTCTTCCACCCACATCCCCGGTGAGCAAACAACGCACGTCGAGGGAGTCGGTGGGCTGGCATGCGCAACACGTGGCCCAGCCATCGGAGCCTGGTGAGTGAAATGACGGTGCTGAGCGGTTCATTCCCTTTTCCTAGGCCGTAAACAAGGCGTCGAACACGCTCGTTACTCACGCGGTGTTCCCACCAGATGTGAGCCAAACTGCGAAGGCACCGATGGTCGAACGTAAGTAGCCTCTTCATGTCCGCCGATCTTAGGGGCCAGGTTTCGCAACCGTACAGTAAGGTCGAACGTACCGCGTAAGGTCGAACGTACCGCATCTATTATCTTTATGTATTGCTTCACAATAGTTGAAGTGTGTTTCTCAACTTCAACTAGTGATGATGATGGGCAGCCGTTTGTTGTACCGCAAATTATATGCTTCAGGAATAAGATCGGGGTTGGTGGGGAGGCTAAGCGGGAGGGGAGGGACAAACGCCACTGCAGCCGGCTCTTAGCCATGTCAACCAATATATTCAACCAAACGTGTTCATTCTCTTTCCGACCCCAACCAGGGAGCCGAGGGGCTCCAACCCAGACCGACTTCAAACTAAGGGCCTTCATTCCTCTTGATCAAGTCATTGCTCGGCCTTTCCTCTTCCACCCACACCCCCGGCTCGCAAACAGCGCACGTCACGGGAGTCTGTCTGCTGGCATGTGCAACACGTGGCTCGGCCATCAGATCCTGATGCTCGAAGTGGTGTAAACAGTTCACTTCCTCTTCCTGTGCTATAAACAAGGCTTCGAACACGCTCATTGCTCACACGGTGTTATTACTAGATATGAGCCAAACTGCAAAGGCACCAGTACTCGAACGTAACTGGCATCTTTATGTTCGTCGGTCAGGTTTCACAACCGTACAGTAGAGTCGAAGGTACGGCTGCATTGTAAATTCAACCCTTCAGGAAGTATGATACTGCGCCGGCGCCATAGGTGGTGGTTAGAAAAAGTGCCTCGAACGGTTCGTGATTTTTAAACTATTTCTTTATTGCTGGAGTTACTAAGCGGCTTCGGAAGACGAGGGGGGCTTTTCATCACCCCAGTGCATGCCCCTACTCAATGCAGTTCATAGTCT